AAGTGCAGGGATACTGGTTGTAAAAACTGAAAGGGAAACTTTTGAGAATCCTTCAATAGCGTTATTTTGTGCAGTTACAACAGAGTATACGTGTCATGTCATCCGATAGAGGGTTTCCTTGAAAAGTAATCCTTCAAGTGGCGGACAGTAAGGAGACCAAGATCCAGGGTATGCGGGCGTGAGGGAGAACAAGACATTAGGTTGCAGTATACTCCACGGTGTGGAACAGTTCGGCCAACCTAATTGATGGTTAGAGAAAATGAGTGACGTACCTGGGTGTCGTAAACAGCGAGCGCGTGCATCTGCTCCGTTTCTACACAGATCTATCTAACTCAGTTTTCGAAATTATAACTTTGAAAGTGCTTTTAGCTTTGCACTTTTCGAATTATTTCTTTTTCGTTGATGGATAGCATATTTGTGGATTGAAATATACAAAATCGTTCATAAGGAAACTGGAAGCAGTAGATATTGTTTTTGTCAATGAAGTAACCAATTGCGCAATTCTGTGTTGAGTGCGATGTTATATATGCAAACTGATATGTGTTGTCTTCGGCAGACTAAGCAACAACCCACGGTAACAAGCATCTCTCAAATAATCTGAACATGACTAACATGTAGACAATGAAACGGTACTTCCCAGGTCCCTTTTTTAGAGCGGCAGTAATCTTGACCAGTCTCCAAATGTCAAGGACTTTTGCGCTCATCAGACAGCCATTGAATATTTTAGATAATGGGAATGACAGTGCCCGCTCATACCTTGAGTACCACGAGTGATAGTTTATCTGGATCAGATGCATTATTCGCCTTTGTTTTCCGTAGCTAGTGGATGACCGTAGAGGGTTTAACAGATGATGTCAGAGTAAAGCTCATTGAGTCTGGCAGGGTAGGGCACTGTGAAACTGGACTAAACGCGTAATTTAATCTTTCAAAGTCGACAGTTTTCCCTTTAGTGTTTATTGGTACTGCCAAAGAGGCGGTTGAGAGCTGCCACGACAACTGCGGTTGCCCAGGATAATGTCGATGTACCGATTGATTTCACATTTGATCGAAATTGTAAGCCGCTTGATATGGGTTCTCTGTCCATGCTTAAAGGCCTCTTCTTTCCGCCTGCGGAGCTGTCTTTGTAATGGCGATAAATTTCTATTTTGGAGAATGAAGGTGGTATCGACCGCGGAACACTGTTCAACGCAAAAATTAAGGTAGTCAGTATCGCGTTCACGGAAGGGTTTTGGTCAGGAAACACCGAAAAATCTGTGGCGGCAATAAGGGATCCTAGTCTGTCGAGGTTATCCGGTGAGTAATTCCTTCGATTCATTATCTTGGATGATCTTCTTTAACGTAATTACCGGTTAGTTTTGCCGTTTATAGTTGGATACACTTTTGAGTTACCATGATCAGGGCTGATTTGAGGAGCACGTTTCTCGAAAACTTTCGGAAATCAAGTTGTGAATCGACTCGGGTGGGGAAATAAACCAGATTTTGTAGATCCAGTGTGAAGAGAGAGTTAAATCGTGACCCTCACAATCACCAAAAATTCACACGAAGAGTCGCTAGTTCTTGATATGATGAAGGAAGAGAAAATATCAGAGATTCTATTTATCTCAGAAGCTGATATTGTAGGCGCAGGTAAAAGTTTCCAAAACCAGCACAAAAACGGGGCTCCTATACGATGGAGTGGCCACCGATTCGACCCACTGAGTATTCGTAGATGACGATGACCGAATTACTCCAGTTGTTGCTGACGTACCTTGCAAAATCTGCGCCTTGTTTACGCGCACTCCTGGGTCGGTCAACAAAAAGCAAGTTATATCCATCCAGTGGTACGATTTCACTGAATCCCGGGGTCTTCCAGGTGAGGACAATGATGCAAGTAGGTCAACAAGCTGGTCCGGCACGTACGATAGAATCCTTAGGGATCGATATTCGAATTAGGGATCCAACAGCAATAATCCGCCCGAGCGCACCAAATTTGTCCACCAGGTACATCACCATCATCATCGTACAGCGAAAGACAGTGAAGCGAACTTCACCAATAGCTGCCAAACTCGCAATGCAGGTCAGGTTGCTGGTAAAATTTAAGGTGGCCAAGAATTGGACCTTTTTCAAGGGATAGGGAAGAGGGTGAAGTGTATGCTCAACACAGAGTACACAATTGAACTCGGCATACATTCCGTTTCAAGCATTCTGGTCNACGCCACTGCTGTCGGTTCGCTGCCATATCCCTCAATGTCTCTTTGGTGTTGCTTACTTTCCGGATTCCGATCGAACCCTGGAAGCGCACTGCACATAAACGGCGTTTGACGGGGATCAAATCGATAAGAGAGAACTTGGCCCTGTTACTGAGTAAAATGCCTACCCCGCGTTGCCTACAGAACGGGCTTTGTCGGCACCCGATGTGCGAAGAAATTATCTCGAAGAACGTACTCCAGCTCCGAAACTAAATGGTCAGTAATTAGTTATGGACTACGTTTCCTACTTAGGTTGCCGCGTGACCAACATCGGTAGCGCGGTCAAGGAGATAACTACCCTCATTCCCAAGGCTCGAGCAGCATACGTATGACTGAA